ATTACGAAACAAAAATTAGACAAACAATTATAAAATCTTATGAAGAAATATTTAGGTGGACCAAAGGTATTGAAACAACAGGAGTAGTTGGCAAAGACGTCGTCGAACTTCTTGAACAATCTATCGCTAGAAGGGGCGTAAGTCTTTTTCTTTTTTTTGTTTTAATTTGAAGAATTTCCTTTGAATAAATATTTGCAAATTATTTGCATTTTTTCTATATAATTTGGACACTTTATATGCTTATTATTGGGAATCAAATTTTAATTGCCCAAATTACGCTGTTAATTATTCGCAAATTATTTTGGAAATTGTTCCAAAATGGAACTCTTTTTCCTTTCTGCAACTTTTTTTTTTTTGCAAAGAACCAATTTTTGTGTCTTGAAAACACAACCATAATTAGGCCTTTGATTAATGAGGCGAACGATATGAGTGTACGTCAGCTGACTATGCCAATGGAACGTTGCTTTTGTGGACAATAAGCAAAGATTTCGAAATTTTTTCGTCAAATCAATTAATTAAATTGCTAGAGAATTTGTGAGCGGATCAATTATAATTAATTGCTACAAGAGATCTGAAATAAAATAATTAAACGAATTTTATCGTGTCTATTCTACCTTATCACTAATGGCAGAACCTTAAATATAAATTGCAAAACAACAACATAAGAAGTAATCAAATTTAGTCATTCGAAAATTATCAGTTTTATCGATAGACCATTATTGTCATTTTTATTTACTTCATTACCTAGTATGAATTTCTGTGCGGTTCTTATTCTCTTCTACCGTCATCCAATGTTTTGGAGAATGAATAAACATGATAATCGATGCCTCTAAGGAAATCTCGAGAGTATCTCGAGAGTAGATATTTTTGGAGTATTCCACTTTGTGATTCAAAGAAGTATATTGCATCTGATGAATTTGTGTGTTTTTCAGATCCTTCAAATATCAAAATATCAAAATCTGCTTTCATTACACTCAATTTGCCAACTTATAAATTTTACCTAATCAAGTAATCAAACTTCAAATATTTTTCAACCCATCATAACAGATACAGTAACCCATTTTATTTTCAAAACTTTAGCTATTCTGTTATGTAGTGTTATCAATGACTCTGAGAAAATAGGTGACCCATTTCTTGTGGTCATGTTTTGAAATGCTTCATTACACATATCTACGCGCTTCTATTATACTCTCGACATTCAGGTTATAATTTTGTTTACTTTATCTGACATAATCAAATGCATAAAATTATCACAAAAATTGATAAAATATTTAACAGATTTGCATAAATTGAAATGAGTCACCGATGATATCATCAATAACTTGATAAGGTAATTGAATGTTCATCATTTGTTCATGAGGTTATCTTCTTCCTTCTTTTTTCGAGAATAATTTTCAATTTTTAAATAATTTTTCAAGTGTCATTTAGTAAATGAATTAAACTGCTTCATTATTTATGGGATAATAATTAGTTAACAAATGAGCTAATACTGCTAATAAGTTTTTCGTTTTCCCGGTACCATTTTAATGATAGTACAGATAGTTCAACCTTAGAATCAATTTTCATTAAACTAATATGATAACGTCACATAGTGATTAATGTATCATCATCGACCATATTATTTATTTATTTTTTGTTTCTTGTAGATGCAGTAAACTAAATTCTTTCTTGTATCGGTTATCGAATAAGAATATGAATACGAATATAAATACTGATTTCTCGGCATATACAAGAGAGGGATCTCAAATGGTAAGGATGAAAATCTTCTTTTATTAAATTCTTAAAGAAAATATAATTCATTTCTATAGGATCCAAATTTGAAAGAAATTAGATATTTTATATTTCAGTTGTCAGATTTTTCTCGCAAAAAAAGATTTTCTTCGTTGTCGCTTGAATTTAAGAATTTACTAAATTTATATAAAAAAATTCAAATTGAGAATGAAATTTAGAAATGTCATACGAAATGCATTCAAATAAAGTACAGATTAATTGTAGTACATTCATCCATGCACATACACAGACAAACGGACAGATAGACACCACTTACACAAGCACACACACACAGACACACACCCACACACGCACACGCACTTGTGCACATAGCACATGTTTGAAATTGAATGACTGTTCTCATTTGATTGACCAGAAGTTAAAATTTAAAAAAAAAGGGAAAAAATAGAGGAGAAATATACGCTATCATGGTAACCAGTTCACGAATAAATTTTTTTTAATTTAAATTAATTGAATTGTAGACAAGAGCATTACTCATCCTTTCTATTAATTAGTTTAATTGCAAGCTAAAGTTCACCGAATGTTATCAATTGTTGAAGTGAGAGTAAATGAAAGTAATATAACACTCAATCATCCCAGTTACGATTTATCCTTACACACATCCCTTCATCATATATGTCCGTCCATTACTTTTGTTGTTACCATTCGAAGATCAAAAATTAATTTGACAAAAAAATTTCGAGAATTTTGTTTATTGTCAACGAAAGCAACGTTTTATTGATATAGTCAACTGACGTACTTTCATCACTGGACTCATTAATCAAATGCCTGATTTCAACATACAAAAATTGGCTGCTTAGTTTGCATATTTTCTATGATATTCGACATTCAAATGGATCATTCATTTTTATATATTATCAAATATTTACCACAACAGTATCTTTATGGCTCTCAACTGCTGATAAAACAATTGAATTACTTATCGAAATTCATCTAAATTGTATTAATGAAACAGTCAATCAATAACAAAAATCAATCGTTTGCCTCGGAAAGATCTTCTGTAGCTGACTTTTGTCCACAGAATTTCCAAAAACCAACAATTGCATATACGGGACCGACATCGAAACGAAACTCCGTTTCAACTTGATAGTCAAATTAACTTTATGATATCCAATTTTGTATTGTACGTCCTGGTCAGCGACACTTGTCGTATCAGTCGTAGTGCGTCAATAACTTGAATGTCCTCTGTGATGCTAATATAATTGGCAATTTATGATAAGAAACACTACGATATTAATCTAAAGTGAATTAAACATTGGGAAGAGGCGCGGCTTTGATTACGCTAATATTTGTATTAGTGCCTTTTGTATGTGTGCTACTATTTGTTGTGTGCCATTATTTGTGCCTTTTGTATTTTAATATAAAATTGCAATTCTATAAGTCTTTCGAACTGCTAGACGATGAACAGGAAA